ATGATTATTGCACATGTGCGAAGAACATACTTTTAACTACTGTATAAAATACATGTTTATTCATTCTAAACATAATAATAATATTGTTGATCATTAATTTTCACCAAAAGTATCCTTCACACCAAAACGTAGGTGAGAGTATAAGAAGATTTTGGTTGGGCTAGCAAAATATGGTCCAAATGCAATCCCTACTCATATGAACTAGCCACGCTTTTTGTTTTAACTCTTGACGTGGAATCACATGTCTTTAATATGTTAACACTTTGAAATAACATGTTTTTATTATGATAAGTCATCATATTTTTTATGTTTTATTTTCTTTTGCTAAAGGCTGTCAATCATCTCTCTCCGCAAAACTTTCATTTAATTTATAAGGCCAAATTCAAACACCAAATAAGCTGGGAGAAGTTTGGCCAGTAACTTTGAAGGCTTGATGACTAAATGTGGTCCATTTTGAAAAAGAAATTATTTTGGGGCATTGGAGGAGATTGAAGAGGTAAATTAATTTAAATTATTTTTTATTACTATTATACTTTATCTTATATAATTTATTTATTTTGATTTTGTTGAGTAATTTATTATCACATGTAGTTTTTCTTTTTGATTTGTCATATAATTATTAAATGTCAATTTTTATTTTTTTTGTGTACAGTTGAAGAGGATCTAGAGTTAGCTAGGGTTTGCCATAGAAAAATCACTATTTTTTTTTTCCATATTTCTTTACTTTATGTTATTGCTTAGGTGTGTGGTCACATGTTTGAGCTTTGAGAATTCATGTTTTAGTAATTTTATTGTGGTGGCTTAGTGAAAGGATAATGTTTTAGAGAATAAAATTTGAAATGATGTTATTAATTGTTGTTTCCCATCTCTATTTATTCATTAATTTTCAAAATTGAAATTAATTTTTAAATTCCTTTTATCCTTATTTTTTGAATTTTAATTCGAAATTATTATCGATCTCTATCTCTATTTGTTGGTTATTTTTCAATTTTAAATGAAAATTAACTTTATATCTTCGTTTTATTCTATAATGCATTTGATTAATGTGCAAAGCAAGTGCATAAAATGATATATTCTGGGTGGGTTTAAAGATTTTTTAATTGTCAAAGTCACTTTTACCTCAAAGTTGTCAATTATAACTATATTTCTAGTAAATTGACATTGTTTCTCTTATTGAATCATTAATAATATGTGATTATAATAATACAATTTCTAAGATGCGCGTTGCTATTTTCCATTCCATTTTTTCTTTGGAGCTTTTGGTGAATCTATCTAGGTTTTAGGCTTTAAGTAAATATTTCCCACTTAAACTTTTGGAGAGATCAATTCCATGATGGAATCTCATTTCTAGGAACTCATATAATGGGTTGTTATAATTATAAAAAATAAAAAAGATGTGGAGTTTGGCTTTCTAATATTCATATATTTTCTTTTTTATATGTGACAATTTAATATAGATTATATAGATTTAGGAATCCACGAGATTTAGTAGACATAATCCAACTTGAAAAATTAGAGGAAAAGAAGGATTATAAATAAGATTTGGGGCTCTCTCTCAAGAATTTCCTTTCTCTCTCTAGATATCCTCAAAGCTTCTCTAAATAGATATTGTTCTTTTTATTTTTATTTGCCCATTTTTAATAATTTTCCTAAATTAGATACATCAAATTATCCACTATAGATGAAAATATTTTCTAAATGGAAATAAGTGTGCATCTCTATTTTTTTGTAAAGGGTTCTTAGTGCTCTCAACCTTATGCAATCCATGGCACTTGATTCAAGGTCTATTGTTTAGCTATGTGGCACCTACTAGATCTTATCTTAAGCTCTTTTATGAACATTGCTATCTCTTAAATATGATTATTATTCTCACTCTAGATTACGTTATCTAATACGTTGTTTGGGTCCTTTGTTTCACAAATTATCGTAAATGTAAAACCCGGTTTTAGAAACACCGGTTTTGGTGGCTTCGGCATAAACTTAGTATAGTTAAAACCTGGTTTTA